GTGTGTGTGTGTGTGTGTGTGTGTGTGTGTGTGTGTGTGTGTGTGTGTGTGTAGATGCAGAGCGCACCTCTCGGGACAGAGACCGGGGCAGCTCGTTGGCCGTCCCGGAGCAGCAGCGTCCCATCCAGCACCGGTCCCGTTCAGTGTCTCCTCACAGAGAGGACTCCTGCCGGGCTCGGTCTCGCCCCGCCCATGTGCCCATGCAAAGGTGAGCGGACACCTGTCCACGCCAAACAGGAAGTTCTGTTTGGTGTCGACACTTTAACAAAAATAAAAACAGATCCAGTCATCCGTGGTGTCAGAGTCACCTGGACTTTTTGTCTCCATGGACAAGCTTCTGGTAATGTTTGGACCAGTTGGTTTCCTGCAGAGGCCATGCCCCTTTCAGTCAGGTTGGGTCCAGAGGCTTCATGTGAGCTGGTTTTATCAGAAACCAGTTCTGTTTAGGAGMAGGGATCTGTTGAAAAAGTTGAATAATTCAGGAGTAAACATGAAGAAAGAAAAAATGTCATTATTTTGCCTTGCTTACAGTATCACGATATATCACAATATATCACGATATATCACGATGTACCACAATTTATCACGATGTATCGCAATATATTACAATGTATCACGATGTATTGCAATATTATCACGATGTATCACGATATGTCATAATATATCATGATATATCACGATGTATCGCAGTATATCACATTGCATCATGATATATCACGATATATCACAATGTTTCATGATATATCACGATGTATCACGATGTATCACTATGTATCATGATAAATCACTATTTGTCACGATGTTTCATGATATATCGCGATGTATCACGATATATCATGATATATCACTATGTATCGCAATATATCATGTTGCATCATGATATATCATGATATATCACAATGTTTCATGATATATTACAATGTATCACAATATATCACAATGTATCATGATACAGTATATCACGATTTATCACGATGTTTCATGATATATCACAGTGTTTCATGATATATCACAATGTATCACAATATATCACGATATATCACGATGTATCACAATGTATCATGATGTATCACAATGTATCATGATGTATCACAATGTATCATGATGTATCACAATGTATCATGATGTATCACAATGTATCATGATGTATCGCTATATATCACGATGTATCATGATATATCACGATATATCATGATGTATCACGATGTATTGTGATATTAGCAGGATGTATCACGATATATCACGATACAGTATATCACAATGCATCATGATATATCATGATGTATCTTGATATATCACGATATATCACAATGTATCACAATATATCACGATATATCACGATGTATCATACCGTGTTACGTATCATATCACCAAACCCCTAGTAGGCTCCCTGTAATACTGACAGTAATTTGACATTTTTTTCATCATCAGGAGTCTGGATGAGATCCACCAGAACCACCACCACACCCACTTCCCCTCAGGGTACCACAAGCCCACCCTGGAGCACCAGCGCTCCGGGGACTCGGACTACGAGAACTCTGAGGACAGGTAACCTTAACATAACCTTAAAACAAACTAATTCTACTAAAACCACTAACAGTTTAATAAACGTTAAGTTTTGTAATTTCTCCTGTTCGTTATGTTTCCATCCCGCTGTCTTTCTGTTCCCCTCCGTTGTTTTTCATCCGTTCATCCATCGTCATGGCACCGGCAGTGAAGTTCTGGAGACTCACAGGTCCATTCGGGGCGGGAGTGCTGAGTGCCTGCACACCAACAGGTACAAACATCTTCTTTAATGATCCGACGTTATCGACTCATCCTAACGCTCCGAGTTCGCATGAAATCTGAATGTTTGTGTGAACTTCCTGCCTGTCTGTTTCCTGTTAACACAAATACACAACAACAACAACACACCTGAGCACAACAGAACCTGCCTGAACCTCGAAACATCTCATCTTATTTCAGCTGATTTCTCCTGTCAGTGTGTCCTCCAAGCGTTCTCTCACGTTTTCATTATTTTCCGCTTTTGTTTTTCTTGCCTTGCTTCCAACCTGCATGATTCACTCGTTCAACCAGGAGCTTAGGTAGACACAACAACACGCTGCCCCCCAAAATGCCCCTCTTAGTAAACGGTATCCATAAAGACATTTACAGGTAAGACTTTCCAACAGAAACACTTTCTGCACTTCTGTCTGTCTGCGTTTGTTGTTTTCATCAGAGAATAAACGGTGCTTTGAGGAGAAGAGCTGCAGTTTTATTTAAAAACAGAGATTCATTCAGTCACAGTACAGAAACTGTTTTATCTAAAGGAGGCGGAGCCACAGGTTAAACACCTGAGCAACAATAAGATCATGTTTCAGTAAAGATTCAGCCTCAGAAGATAACTGCTCCATCCATCCATGTATCATCCATCCATCCATCCATCCATCATCCATCCATCCATCATCATTCATCCATCCATCATCCATCCATCCATCATCCATCTGTCCATCCATCCATCCATCCATCATCCATCTGTCCATCCATCCATCATCCATACATCCATTCATCCATCCATCCATCCATCCATCATCCATCCATCCATCCATCCATCATCCATCTGTCCATCCATCATCCATCCATCCATCATCCATCTGTCCATCCATCATCCATCCATCCATCCGTCATCCATCCATCCATCATCCATCCATCATCCATCCATCCATCCATCATCCATCCATCCATCATCCATCTGTCCATCCATCCATCATCCATACATCCATTCATCCATCCATCCATCCATCCATCATCCATCCATCCATCCATCCATCATCCATCTGTCCATCCATCATCCATCCATCCATCATCCATCTGTCCATC